AGCAATAACGATTAATGCTGAAACAGTAGCTTGTATTCCAATATAATTAATGGTCTGAATTATTACAACAGATGAATAATTTGCTGTTTTTTGTTCTCGGACAAATTTACACCAAAAGATTAAAACAAATATTGCCTCGTATTTCTTGTTCTTTTTGGTTCTCAAATTTCTTGGGTTGAAATTTTTGTAGGATTTTGTTCATAAGTTTTTTGTTCTGCGCCGTCATAGATTTATTTAGATCTTTTTTGTTGGAATTTTTGTAGGAAGTATAATTATAAAGGTCATATAATAAAGGGTCGTGAGAGTCGTGTATTAAAAATGTTCAAGTGCGGAGAAGCCTAAATTGCCATTTAATAAGGGGTGTTAATTAATTTATGGTCAACAGATTAAGCTACTTTAAAAATTAGTGTTGTTTAAAGTCAAATTAGTTTTTGATGTAAAAAGCATATATATATATTAAGATAATTGAAATCACATTAATAATAGTACTGATGAAAAGACACAAAATTATATTATCCTTGTCAATAAAATTAAAGCATCGTCATTAGAATAGTTTCTTAAACTAAAATTGTTTACAACATTATTGCTTATGAACTTTGCGTTAACTTAGTAATGTCATTTATATCATTGGGGTTTCAGTAAAAGAAAGAAAAGACCATTTGCAATAATAGTTAAGGCATATGAGTATATATTATCTCTTCATGGAGAAGTCAATTGAATCAGGAAAACAATTTCGTCCATATTAGCTTGTACTCAATTATTATAATAATATGTATAATTTGCAACCTAAAACACATGAGGTAAGGTATAAGAAACAATCTTCCTGCCATAAATCCTATAGATTTTTCTCGAAAAAAAATATCAATATAATATCACATGTATATTCTTTGATATTTAATTAATTTCATATCTCTAACACATTTAAACATCCTCTTTACCTGCGTTGCCATCATCACCATCATTTCACCGTTGTTATTACCGTCAATGTTGTTGTCCTCATCATCAACACCATCATCATTAGTACGAACTTGTTTCCGCTTAGCAACGATGTTGTTTCAAGTACCAAAAGCAATAACCGGCGAAAAAGTAGTAAAAGGCTTGAAATAAACACCGATTGAAGAGAGATATTCAGAATCACTGGTGCCATGAAATCCAGCAAATTGATTACGTAGCCCAATATATATGTGTCTCTCCCACTAAGGTTCACGATAAATTGTGCCAAACGGTCCGTAAAGTGGCTTTGTTTGTATGAATTGATAATCTATTCACGTAAGAGAAGCTGCATTCAACGGTAAGTCCAATTATCTTTTCTAATGGAAAATCAAGTTGCACCTAAATTTTCCAAAAAAAAATAAAAATTAAAAAGTATAAGAACAAGTGAAAGCAACTAACTATGTCATGCAATAGGGGGAAAAAAAAGGTATAATGTTCCTTCAAATTAAGGTTTTCATGTATGTCTAACTAATTTAATAAAGTGCGCTAGATGCAAAATAGAAATAAAAATAATATCATAAAAAAAGAAAAATTGTAAATAATAATCCCAACTTTGCTCCATTTTCTTTTAATAATCCTAATTTTGGATTATGCTAGAATAATCCCAACTTTGGGGGTGCTGTTTACTTTCTTCAATCCCAAACCGGTCAACAAAAGTAAATGACTTGCTATCATAAGTTATGTGACACGTGTCACATTGTGATTGGTCCAAAACAGGAAAAAAATTAAAAAAAAAACTAAAAAAAATGAAGCCCCTACCTAGCCCCTCCACCACCGCCCATCGGAATCCCAAACCCCAGCCGCCCCAATCCCCCTTACCCCACCGGAAAACCTACATACCCCAATCCCCTAGCCTTTACCCCACTGGCGAACCCACCCTAACCCTCCCGCCGGCCAGCTGCCACCTCCTCCTTTCCCGTAAACCCCCTGTCTCTCCTCGAAACAATTACTAAAAACCTCCCTCGCCTAGTGGTTGTTTCGAGGAGAGGGAGGGGGTTTACGGGGATGAGGATGGTGGTTCATTCAAGGGAAAGGAGGGGGAGGGTCTACGAGATGGGAGGAGGGGGTGGCTGGCTGGCGGGATGATTTGGGTGGTGAAGTTCTAGATAGCTACTACAAGAGGGGGGTGAATTGTAGTATGGGTGAAGTACTAAACTTTTGCGGAATTAAAACAATGTAAAACAATATAGAGAAATGATATAGGATTTTCGAAATTTCCACTATGTAAATCAAGCTATTTTACAAAGTGAATAATCAACCCAAACTAAGTTCCACAAGAACAGAACTTGTTCCCAACTATGGTCCCTCAACCGTAGCTACTCTCTCAAAAGTTTCAACTCACTATTGGTCCACAGTGCCCTTTCTTCAAATCAAACATAGCACTTCTATTAAATGTAGAAAACAAATTTTGATCATACATAAGCAAAACTTTAACTATGAATGCATAGTAAAATGGAAATAGAAAGGAATTTAATTTGGGTTTATGAACAATTAACCTCCCTTGAGGTAAAACATTGTTTTTGGTTTAGCTTTTCTATATTTATATATTTGAAAAGAAAAAAAATGAACCGACACTATATAAAATTCGAGAAGACTATTTTCTTTTGACAAAGGATTTTTAAAAACTGCTTAATTTAAACTTGTAATGCATGGGTTATATTTTTTTTGTTGAAAGGTGTTTATTATTGAAGGGTTGTTCAAGAAACCTTTGATTTAATAACTATTAAAAATTCAAGACTAGAAAAAAAAAAACAAAAAAAAAAGATCAACAACTTAAAGATAAGCAATAAAACACAATTATTATAGTACCATTTCATTACAATTCCTATATCCAAAGCCATCTTTATCTATATTGTGCATTACCACAATTTTTTACAATCATTAAAACTTGATAACTAAATATATTTGAGTTTCGTATACCTGTGTATGTATAGGAGCAATTAATTAAAAGTTTAAAACATTGAATTGGTATAGATTGAAGAATGACTTAAAATACTTGTACAAATGACATAGTATATGAATACATGTTATGAATGTAGAGAATCACCAACTTCGTAAAATAAATTCAAGAGAGGAAAATGTTATGAAAAGATTGAAAAGGGAAGAAAGAGAAAAAAAAACAATTCTTTATGAAAGAGACACTTGATAATAAAATATACCAGAGCATATTATTCTAGCAAGAATATAATGAACATACAAGATTATATACAATGAATATTATATTTTGAGGATTAAATCAAGGTATACTCTTGATATTATCTTCCATAACTCTCACACATATTAAATTTGGGCTAACAAAATTTATATAAAAAAAAAATACAACAAATCTTAATGAAAATTAACACTGAATTTCTCATCAATTTTTAGTAGTAGAGGAATAAACGATCAATAACCCTTCAAATCCAAAACTAAACATTGTCAACAAATTTTAAGAATATACCAATTTTAAGAAGAAAAATTGAAAAGAAGAAAACCCTTAAAACTAATGGGAAGAAACTTAATTGAAGACAAATTTGACTAAATTTCAACTTTAATTTCCATGAGCAAAAAATACAATTTAAAATTTACATTAGGAAAAAATCACTGATTGTAAAGAGAGGGGATTTGAGGAGAGCGAAGGATATGAGTTGTAAAATAAAAATATGTTTAGATGAGAGGATGAAGATTAAAAGAAGACAGGAGAAATTGCCCTCATGAAACAACATGATACTATGATAGAGAGAACTATTTTTTAAAAGGTAAATTGTAAAAAAAAAACAATGGTGAAAAAAAAAGGAATATAAATATGGCCACGTAACTCTCTAATTTGTTTGCAAAAGTTCATGTTATTAAATATTAGTATTGATATTGATATTGATTAAAATCTAATAATAATCCTGCACATGTATTTCGAAAAGGCATAATTAATAAATTTTAAGGCTTCAAAAAAAAAATTAATAAATTTTAAAATTTTGGATGGAAAAGATGTTTTATTGAATTTATGTTTTAATAATTTTTTTTTATTTTTTTTTTATGAAAAAAAATTATTTTCTTGAATAGGCATAATCAGGGGATTAGGATGGAAGAGATGTAAAAGAGATGTTTGATTGAATTTCTGTTGTAATTTTTTTTTTTTTTTGATGAAAAATATTATTTTGTTGAAAGGGCATGATTAGGGATTGGGATGGAAGAGATGTATGATTGTTTTTGTTTTTTTTTTTAATCAAAAAAATTACTTTAAAACAGGAAACATAGGAAGAGGACAAGTGTCCTTCCAACTTCTTGTTTTAAAATAATAATATTGATTTGTTTGTGTAATTAAAAATTTATATAATGAAATTTAGTTAACCCAAGAGACACAAATGAAAATTGATACTTATCTTTTCTAAGGGGATTGAATCGTTATAAAAAAAAAAACTCCTAAAAGAGCAAAAATCAGGAAAGTAGGAAGAGGATAAGTGTCTTTTAAATTTCATGTTTTAAAATATTAGTATAGATTTTTTTTTAAATGGGCATAATTAATTGATTAGGGGATTGGGATGGAAGAGGTGTCTTTTTTTTTTTTCTTAACTAAAAAAAATATTTTAAAATAGGAAAACACATGAGGAGGACAAGTGTCCCTCCAACTTCCCGTTTTAAAGTAATAGTATTGATTTATGACAATGTACTTTCTATATGTTTGATATGTATGTTTTATCAAATTTATTTGTTAGATATAATTAATTTTTTAAAAAAATAGAATTACCGTGCATGGCACGGAGCCTAAAAATTAATTTTTTTTTTCTTCACATTTGTCAATGTTCAAATTCAAAGATTAATATCTCTAATTATCAATTTATAAAAATTATTTTAATGCAATATGTAAAAACTAAATTCACAATTTGCAAAGTACTAAAAGGCAACCAACAATCAAAAAGTTCATTGAATTCTCTACTCTACTAAGACAAGAAATATGCTTAAAAAATTAATTCATTAAGGGCTTTTAATTAAGACTTTTAGTGGCCAAGAGCGTATTCATATTTTCTTGCTTTTCTTTTCTTTCTTTTTTTTTTAAAAAAAAAAATTCATTATTTTGATAACAGGTCAATTACACATGGCAACATCTTAGAGCCTAATCACATCGAACTACATGGAAACAATGGTGTAACGCATAACATTAGATCCAATTAATACGAATTACGAAGTTTCTTACCATTAAAGTATTAAACTTAATCAGAAAAAAAAAAAAAAAAAAAAAAAAAAGAAAGAAAGAAAGAAAACGGAAATAAACCTGAGGGCGGACATTTGAAAGCAGATCAGATATAACCGTTAGAGAAAGGGCACGAGCCCAAGATCAACGGTTCTGATTTACTAGCCGTTAGTTTCAAAAATTTATTCGCCGACATAATTTAATCAATTTGCCATATTTTTCTGTTCGTCAATTTCATAGTAATTTTTTCTTCTTCCTTTTTTTAATTTTTTTTCTTTAATTTCCTCTCTTTTTTTTTAACTTCTCGTTTATGAACCCTAAAATTTCGAAAGAGTCTTCCTTATTTGAAAGAGAGAATATAGAGAGAGAGAATAAGAATTACACCCCCCAATTTCTTCAATCTTAATTTGATTTTAAAATGGGGTTTGAATTTTTCTGACTCATTTCTTTCTCTCACTTCTTCAATCAAATCTGGGAAGAAAAAAAACGGACTATTTGATTTGAACATTAATTCTTGAACATCATTAAATTGTTGTTTTTGGGTGAGTAATTAATTTTCTTAATTTAAATTTTCTGGGGTTTTGGGATTTGTTTTAATTTTTTTCTTGATTGAATTTTTCTGCATTGATCCCATTTTTGCGATCATCATTTTGATTTGTTGGGCGGATTTTTTGATGTAATAGAAGAAGAAGAAGAAGATGGCGGGATCAGATGAGAACAATCCGACAATAATCAATCACTCAATTATTCAAGGTATTCAATCAAGTTAAAATTTTGAACTTTACAATTTTTTATTTATTTTTAGTTAAATTCTTGTGATTTTGGAATTGAAAACCCTAAATTTGGCAATTGGGTTTTTCTTGTTCGATTATTTAAGGAGGGTTGCAAGCAAGAAGTGGAAAGGTAATGCCACCAATTGGGCATAATAGGAGGGCATTGAGGGACATTAATCGCAACATTATTGGAGCTCCACTTAATAATCCTTGTGCAATCAACAAAAGAACCATTTCTGAGTAATTAATTTCCTAAACCCTAACAATTTTTTTATTTTTTATTTTGGGGTTTTAGCAATTGGGTTTGTGTTAGTTTCTTGTTTACTAAATTGGGTTTTCGTCATTGGGGCAATGCAGGAAAGATGATGGTTTTGGAAAGATTCCGGCAATTCTCGGTCACCGCCCGGTTACTAGGTTGGTTTCTGACTTTTTAGTGCCTTTGTTTTGCCAATGTGGATTAATCATATTGTGTAAATATTGATGTTAGTGTTGGTTGTAAATTTTTGTATGTTTAGGAAGTTTGCAGCGGAGATGGCTAATACACAGCATTATGTGATTGAGGTGCCTATTTGTACATTTCATAATGGTAATTATAATTGAAGTGATATCTGAATTTGTGGTAATGATTTGTATTGATAAAGGAGATCGAGAAACCACTTGGATGTGAAACAAGTGCAAGAGAGGAGCTAAATGATTGTGAGATTATAGATGTGGATGATTATAAGGTGAGTAATGATACATCTGTACCAATGTTTGTGCAACACACTGAAGCAATGCTCGATGAAATTGATCGTATGGTATGATCCGACACTCATATTAGAACGCGATACTAGTCAACTTATACACTGTATGATCTGACTTTAGATTGATTGGTCTATTATTTGAACTGATATTAGGATGAAGAAGTTGAAATGGAGGATATTGATGGGCCGATGCTGGACATTGATGGGTCAATATTAGACATTGATAGTTGCGATCAGAATAATCCGCTAGCAGTAACCGAATATGTTGATGATATCTATACCTATTACAAGAAAGTGGAGGTATACAGCATTACAGCCTGTTATACCATTCATTCATTCATTCATTCTAGATCAGTTCTTCTCCGACTATTTTGAGATGTGAACATTTGCTGTTAGGATGCTAATGTTGGTTTTAGATGCTCACAGATCATCGTGTGCTTGAAAGGATAAGGTCACTAAGGGGTCATTTGGTTGTATTATTTGGAATGGGTTGGAATGGAGTTAGAATCCATTCCATCAAATTTTTTGTTTGGTTGAGCTTTTTAGTCATGGAATCTCATACACAAGGGGTTCTAATTCCACCCATACCTATGGAATCCCATACCCATCCCTCCTCCTAAGATTCACAATCCATTCTATTAATGAATAAATAATCCATTCCAACATTAAAATCAAACAACTTTAGACTAGTATGGGTTTTAGAATCCATACTTCTCTACTATGATATTCCATATCAATCTATTCCAATATAATGAACCAAACACCCCACCTAAGGTTATTTCTGATGTTTCCCTGAAATGCACATAGTTTATCATGTATGACCTGTTATTCGAACTACTTATTTCAAGTGATGGGATGGTTTATTGCTAGTGGAAATAAGGTCACTAAGGTTCTTTCTGATATTTCCCTGAAATGCACATAGCTTATCATGTATGTCCTGTTATTCGAACTACTTATTTCAAGTGATGGGATGGTTTAATATTGCTAGTGGAAATAAGGCAGTGATGTGAAGTTATCCTATGGAAAAATTAGCAATCCTATCTTGCACGAGTTCTGACTTAGTAGTTTCTTGCACAGGTTACAGCCTTAGTCAATCTGTTATTGTTATTTCTGGGAAAGAACCAACTGATAGGGTGCAATTTGCAAAGAATATCTACTGAATTCTTCAATTTACTGATTAATTTAGAAATATTATGTGTTTAGGTGGAACAGCAATCTTGTGTTGGTTATGATCCAGCATTAATGTGTGTTTGACAAAGCTAGTATGCATTTTGTGCTTTCTGTTATTGATGACTGTATATCAGGCTTACTGTTATCTTCATTATGCAGAATACTAGTTTTGTTCCTTCAAACTATATGGACAGGCAACCTGACATTAACGAAAAGATGAGAGCCATTCTCATCGATTGGCTAATTGAGGTAATTTTGCAAAGCCTTACTTAGTTCCTTATAGTCCAGAGGGAGTTGACTATATCTATTGGCCCCACTAACTCTCTGATGTTGAACTAAAGGTCCATTACAAGTTTGAGCTCATGGAGGAGACGCTATATCTGACAGTCAACCTGATTGATCGCTTTTTAGCTCTTAAGCCGGTGGTGCGAAAGAAGCTCCAACTAGTAGGTGTAACAGCTATGCTTCTGGCAAGCAAATATGAAGAGGTATCAGTTCCAGTTGTTGAAGATCTTATACTGATATCTGACAAAGCTTACAGCAGGCAAGAAGTACTTGACATGGTAAGCATATGCAGATTGGTGCTATTGCTGCTGTACATTCTGTATTACAAGCAAATATATCATTGTTTTCTTCCATGTCCTGTAACAGGAGAGACTGATGATCAACTCCTTACAATTTAATTTGTCGATTCCAACCCCATATGTCTTCATGAAACGATACCTTAAAGCAGCTGAAGCAGACAAGAAGGTATTTTCCAAGTGGGGGGAACTCATGTTATTTATGAGCATCTTGCAATTTTTTTACTGGTGATTAATTTCTGACTCTTGGGTTTTTTTTCCTATGGGTGGACATTTAACCAGATCGAACTCCTGTCGTTCTTTTTGATCGAACTTTGCTTGGTGGAGCATGAAATGCTGAGATTTCCGCCTTCTCTTCTAGCAGCAGCTGCAGTATTCAGTGCTATGTGCACTCTGAGTGGGTTTAAGTATTGGAGTAAGACCTGTGAGTGGCACACTGGTTATCCTCTAGACCAATTGATGTAAGCATTTTTATTCCATTCCTGTTATCTCAATTCTCAAGTTACCAGAGTAAGCCGACAAAATTGTCATGTTTATTGTTTTCTTTTGGGTTACTGCAGGGAATGCTCCAGGCTGATGGTTACTTTCCATCAGAAATCTGCAACGGGAAAACTTACTGGTGTGCATCGGAAGTACAGCACATCCAAATATGGGTACACTGCAAAATGCGAACCTGCTCATTTTCTCTTAGAGATTGGATTCAGCGGGTGGACATAGGACCCTTGTGGTTGAGTTGAATAAATCCAACATTTTGTGGGAGTCTGGCGCAAGGGCTTCAAAGTCACTGAAGTTACGCCTCTCCTGCTTGAACATATTTCCTTGCTGGATCATTGTGTTAATTTCCCTGTCCCATATTAGGATCGAAATGCTTTCCTCTGAAAGCCATCTTTAAGACAAACTCATCATCTTGTAGTTTGTGTCATAGTCATTCACTGTGATTATGTTATAAAATTGCTGCTTTGTTCCAAAAGTTCTCTGAATTCAGTTCTGCCTGTCTTTCCCGTTGCTAAATCTTCCATGACTTTGCAGTTTCCCATCTTACTCCTTCATCTAAGGCAATAACATAATGATTTAGAGGTGAAATGAACAATCACATAGGCTGCAAGAACATCATTTATATAAGAGACACCACCTGATTTATGAATAGGCCTGACTGGACCGGGTTACACTAGTCTTGACTTGACCCGGCCCATTGATGAGTCTATTTGTGATCCGCTTAAAACCATGGATTTGAAATGAGAAAATAATGAAGTATGAATCTGATACAAAATTACATATTGGAGGATTCTTCTCAATCCATTGACTTTGTTACATACATGAGGTTTTTTGAATTTAAATTGATGAAGGTGCCAAGGTATTTTTGCTATAACGGTGGAAATGTGAGATCATGAATACAGAGATGAAAAAAAAAATATATAAACGAGTTATTATAAATGGATTATCGGTTGTAAACGATTTGGGTTAAATGATTCACGGGAGTAATAATTTTGGTATGATAACTACAAGGTTTGAGTATTAAAGGTAACGAACATTTTAAATTAGAAAAATATGTTTTTGTTTATTTTATTTTACTTTATTAAATGTATTTTTCTTGTGAAAAATGAAGAGTTTAAAAGGAAGGAGTGACAATTGAAATGCACACATAAATAGTATTTGTATTAAGTTAGGGATATGAAGTAAACATTAAATATATAGTGAATTACCCCTTTCGTATTTAGAAAAGTGAAATATTTTGACTTTTTGCATTATTTATCTAATTTACATTGACTAATGTTTGTGATTTATACATAAGATAAATATAGTCTTGTGGGCCCTTATTGGATATGAAGTAAACATTAAATATATATATATATATATATATATATATATATATATATATATAGTGAATTACCCCTTTAGTATTTAGATAAGTGAATATTTTGACTTTTTGCATTATTTATCTAATTTACATTGACTATATTTGTGATTTATACATAAGATAAATATAGTCTTGTGAGTACTTGTTGGAATTCTCTTAACAAATATTTTACTAATATTCAATTGTTATATTATTTACTTATTGATAATTAAAGATATTATCACTCAAAGTTTTACATTGATATATGTGCACAAGAGAAACGTTTTAGCTATTTAAATACGGAGGGAGTAGTAATAAGATTATGTTTTTTAAATATTAACAAAAACAATTGAGAGAAAGGGAAGTGGGACACATGTCATTTGTGGTTTGTGTTATTATGTACTTAGTATAGATAGATAGATAGATAGATAGATGAGTTGTTATGAGTTAATTTACACGGGTTTTCCTCATGTTGAAATGAAAATATCTTTAATGATTATCCAGGTTTTCCTCATGTTGAAATGGGCATTCAATTTGGATCATTAACAGTATATGACATATTCAGCTAGATGTCAATCACGTGTCATGCAATTTGATATAGATGTTGTCAAGGATATTTTGTTTCATTTAATCGTGGTCTTAAATTTTTAAAACCATAAGACCAATTAAATCTAATTTGAGAACAAAAGGGGAGGGAAGGGGGGATTGTTGCTTCGGATACATAAAGGAAGAAATAACTTATGCCTTTACAAATTTTGTTCATAGGATCTTCTATCTTAAGTTCAAGAACATCATCGCGATGTTACCTTTGAAGAACAAGATTTTAATGAAAGTAAAACTCGTCTATAAAGAATCAAAAAGTATTCATAAGAGCAGTTAAATCTGATTCAAGAACAAAGAGGGATGTCGTTGATTTGGATATAAATTATAAAAAGAGAAAACTTATGCTATTACAAATTTTGTTCATTGGATCTCCTAATCTAAAGGACATCATTGATACATTACCTTTAAAGAACAAGATTTTAACGAAGTAAAACTCTCGTCTATAAGATTGTAGAGAATCGAAAACTCTATAATTTTGCTTAGCTTTAGTCTTGTTAGGGCTTTAAAATTGTTTGCTCTGGCTAACTAAGTACATAACCATTTGTAGCTAAGTATCCAGATGACTTTTGGTTTCAAATCAAACTCGTTTTAACCTAATTCAAACCAAATTAAACCGTCAATCTAAATTGATAATATAAACCAAATTGATAACATAAATTAAACCATAAATTCAAATCGATAACATTAATTCGTAACGTGTCACGTGACATATATACTTCCTTACTGACAGATTGATCACATGGATGGGGGCAAAGTTGACCTAAATTCTAAATCATTTCAGTGGATATGGCCAATATGGGACAGAGAACCTTAAATAATGATCCATAATTCAATTCATTCCAAGGTGGATACACGCCAGATTTGATAGCTACTTCCTCTTTCCCTTTCATCCTTATTCGCCACGTTTCGCTTCGTTTACACAAAAAATCTCATTTCTTTCCAAGTTTCCAACTTTAGCCCATCTAATCTTTATACTTCAATTTTCATGCTATTTTCTCAAAAATGAAAAAAAACCCAATTCACCCGTTTCTTCCTTCGTCAATTTCATTTCAGCCACTATTTTTAATTTTAACCCACCGATTTTCTTGGACTTATTTAACCATCTCGAAAAAAAAAAGGGGTATTTCCCTGTCAATTTGGTAAGTTTTCAGATTTTGGATTTTTTATTTTATTTTGAGATGTCGCTGTTTTTATGTACAATACTTTAATTTGAGATTTACTTGGATTTTGTATTTGTATTTTCTTATGTGTATGGTAAATTATTGGATTCAGATATTTTTGATTTTACTGGATAAGAATATGGTGTATAATTGATACCAAGTTGCAAGGTTTGATTTTTATTCAAGCTGTTATTTGAGTGTCTAAATTGTCTTGTAGTGGGTTTTGTGATGCTAGAAGTTTCTGGGTTTTTTGTTAGCATCATAATTTCTTTATTCAGAATTGTATTCCATGTCAATTATGCACCCGGGTGTATCTAGAGTTAATTATATCGAACACCATATAAAATCGACGCTTAATTTGTACCTAAAGTTAACTATATCCATCATCCTATAAAATAGATACTCTTCATTTGTACTATAAAAGCCTTTTGGAAGCTTTCTGTTTTATGTATGCCCATAAATTTTCATTCTCCTTTGCCTTTATGCTCTCCTATACATGAAATTATTCTAGCTTATGTAGTGAGCTCAATTTAGTTTAATTTTCTCTCATATTTGATTGATTGCTTTGCATAATGTAGTTGAGTCTGAGTGATACAAAGCTAGTGAATCCTAAGAGATGATTGAGAAAAGGCAGCACAAGTTCTTGACTGTTGCTCCCTTTGAGTGTGCTTGGCAAAAGGACTTTAAGTTTAAAGAGGCGGGGCGGGGCTGTGTGGTTTTCGAAGCATTTGCTCGGAATGATGTGACGGTTGTGTTTCGGGAGAATGTAGGGAGTCAACACTATCATTACAAAACTGACAGCAGTCCTCACTACACTGTTGTCTTGGGAAGCCATAGGAATAGGAGATTGAAGATTGAGGTGGACGGTAAAGCTGTGGTCGATGTCGAAGGTGTTGGACTTTGTTCTTCAGCTGCTTTCCAAAGCTATTGGATAAGTATTTATGATGGGTTGATTTGCATTGGAAATGGGAGATACCCATTTCAGAATGTTGTTTTTCAGTGGCTTGATTCGAACCCAAATTGTAATGTTCAATATGTCGGGCTGAGCAGTTGGGATAAACATGTTGGGTATAGGAATGTAAATGTATTGCCTCTGACACAGAACCATATATCCCTATGGAAGCAGCTGGATTCTAGAGCATATAATGAAGAAGAAGAAAATGAAGAGGATTATGAGGAATCTATGTGTAATGATGATAAGTGGGGATTAGCGAATTTTCTCGAGAGCTGGGAGCTTTCCGACGTGCTTTTCCTTGCAGGAATAGATGAAAGGCCTGTTCCAGCTCACAAGGTCATCTTGGCAGCAGCTGGTAACTTTCACTTTGCTCCAGATGAAGATATCATTCAGCTTCAAGAAGTTGGCTATCCAATCCTGCATGCATTTCTCCAGTATATCTATACTGGCCAGATCTGGGTATGTTTTAATTCCCTTTCTTATGTCTGTAGTCTGGTTAGAGAAGAATTGAGCATCTATGATAGTTTCTTTGAACCTTTATGATTATTAAACGATTAGTTTCAATATTCTTCTTTAGGAGCTAGCTCATGTTGATCATCATGATTTGCTTGAAAATTTTCCTGTGAAACAATATACTTCCTCTTCCTTTCGTAACTTTCGTTCTTTGATTATTACTCCATTTGGACTTAGCACTTTCATACACTTTCCTTTGACCATACTTCGTGATTTGTACGTAAGAATAATACATTTATGTGGGATCTTGTTAGATTTTTCTCAATATAGTCTTTCAAATTATCAACTATTTATAAATTTTATTAGAATATTATTAAAGATATTAATGATATAAGGCATGTATAAGCAAGCATGAAACTCCAAATGGTGCAATTATAGAAAAAAAGAGGAAGTTTCACTTTCAACAACTATTAGAGAAGCTAAACATTTTCATTGATGCAGATTGTTCTGTTCCTGTGTGAAGATATATGTTGAAATTGTTGATCCATATAACCATGTCTCACTCCATCCTTTCACTGTCACAAGACTTAGTTGATTATGTCTCTCCATTTTGGGTGGAGCTTGATTTTTATACTTTTCATGATGATTGTTGCTATTGTTGTAGGTTTCAGAGTCACAACTTGGGCCTTTGAGGGATATCAGCTTACAATTTGAGGTCATGCCATTGGTGAAGCAATGTGAGCAGATTATGGAACGTTTCAAAACAAATAAAAAATTGTTTGATTCCGGAAAAAATGTTGAAATTTGCTATCCAAATTGTCAATCCCTTCGTCCGACGGTGTTCCCCAATGGGCTGCCTCTCAATGTGAGTAGAATTAAGGAATTCTATTCAACTGGTAACTACAGTGACTTGGAGATTTATGTTGAGGATTATGGATTTGTTGCTGGCACCCATAAGATAATAATCAGTTTGTGGAGTGTTCCGTTTCTGAAGGTTAGTGAAGCTTCATAGTTTCTTTTTGTTTGATTTATTCTGTTATGCAGCTTTTTATGAACGGTTAGCTCTTGAATTAAATCCAGAATAAAAATCCTTACCAGAAGAGATTGAGCACCTCCCCTCCCCTCCCCCTGCCTCAAGAAAAAAAAAAAAAATTCATTTTGTGTTTCTCGGGTTATTTCTAATCAATTTTTACATTTCAAACTACTGTTTTGATCATGTGGCATGGTTATGTACCTCTTCCGATGTACTAAAGGGTAAGGTTGGAAAGGTGTAAGTTAGCATGATATCTATTTTTGTTTTTTTGTTTTTGAAGAGGTTGCGGTTCAATATTTCTGCCTGTTACAATATATGGGCCTCAGGGTTACGGTTTTTTGCACTGCAGTACTAATACTGTCTATAGATTGTTATAGAATGGATACGCAGAATTAATAGAGTTAAGGAAGAAGAAGAAATTTAGGTAAGGGACTAAGGGTTGATAGTAGTTTGTATTCGATACAATTATATCACCAAACAATCCCAACTTAAGTTGTACTAAGATAAAGCTAACTAAGTAAAACTTCTCATTATTATTCATCATACTTCCTATCTCCCTAATTTTCTCTATTTATAAGATTCCTTCTCTAACTCACCCTCATGCCTTCCTCCTTAAGATACTAGTCAAACTGCACTAACTACCTATGAGCATTATGTATTCAAAAAAAGGTAACCAGATCTTTCATGCCTCTCCCCATTAACCTGATTCATTACATAGACTTGGTACAGTAACTGTGTAAAGGTCCATAACTATGTATACTTTGGCCTCACCCCACCCCCCCACCCCCCACCCGGGGTTCCTTCTGAATTTGGAAAAGGGATGAAAATAGAAAGAGAATGGTTTACATTGCTACTTTATTTGCGACTAATGAGAGAAGTGGAAGCTCCTAGGTAAAAAAGAGATGGATCTTATCTTGATATGAACTTTAAGAGATTATTTTGAGTCATAAAGATGTGGACTTCAAGAAAGAGGGGACGGTAAAGGAGGTACATAGTGTCCCTAGGACATGTCTCAATCAACCCAAGGGCTTCTATTATTGTGACTATATTATTGGTTTTTTTCCCCCTAGTTTCTCACTTTCTCTTATCTGTTGTTATGAATGTTGTAGTGACAAGTGATTACCAATTATCAGAGAAAATCTGATCTATGTATAAACAAGTAAACAACTTTTAGTATAGCATAGCAATCCAGTATATCTAGTCTGGGTCAAAGGGCTTATTGCTTTATATTTTTTATCCTTCATCCTCTTTTCTCTCCTTTGCTTTATTTCTTATGGAAATCGTGAATGATTCTTGATGCCTGAATATCTTCAGTGGTGTAGGAAGTGACCATTAACAAATTATTAGTATTCTCACTGAGTTTGCTAGCCTCTATAGACTTTCTAACTGTCTAATCTGTTTCGTTATAAATCTCAGTAGTGAGTCTATTGATTGTTTTCATCAATATTTGATTTCTCGTGTTTTCATTAAATTATTGATGAACCTAACTTCTGTTGGTAGATGTTCACAAATGGAATGAGAGAGAGTGCTTCCACAAATGTTCATCTGAGGGAGGCATCACCAGAAGCAATGAAAGCAATGCTCGATTACATGTATAGTGGGGAGCTTAATATGGAAGATATTAAAGATAATGACACCTTGTTACTCCATGTTCTTCTATTGGCTGACAAATTTGGCATCACACACCTCCAGCAAGAATGCTGCAAGATATTGCTAGAATGCCTCTATGAGGTAGCTCTTTATTACTTATCTTGTGTATACCTTGGTTTCATAATATAGTTGTTTTTCCTCAATACAACGAAGTTTTGTTTCATGACATTGTCCTAAAGAGCGGAGAAGTGACATGAAGTCTGGGACTTCTGAAAAACAAATGAAGAGGCACACCTATTACAATGAATTATTAGATATTAATACGTCTATCTATATATGAATGCAGGGATGGCGTCTTCTAATGGAAGCAGGTCATACAACAAGCGTTTTTCTTATCTCAAGTTTAATGGACGAGGAAACAGAGTTTTTGGCATAGTAGAATACTTCTGAAGCTAACCCTTTGAATTTGTTGCAGGATTCCGTGTGTCAAATACTTCAAGTCATTTCATCAGTTCCATCTTGTAAAGTAATTGAAGAGTTCTGTAAGAGGAAATTCTCAATGCAGTTTGATTATTGTACCACCGCAAGCATGGATTTTACTTCGTTAAATGAGGCCACATTCAGGAACATTCTACAGGTGGGTTTTGTTTTTAAAGCAGGATACTTATCCGACTGTATGCTTGGGGATTAGAGTTATTTAAATATATATTTGTATACCTGACAAAACAGATGATTGCTTGATATAGATCCATAGAGAGAAAAGGCCAAAATGGCGATACTTGGTGATAGAAATCATAGGATTGGAAAAGATTGATTAATGCGAAGTTTTTGATTTGCTGTAAAAGTGGTGATAAACCCATTTCTACCCTGCTTGGCTCTTCTCCTAAGCAAGTCATGAATTCCATTTGCCAGCAATGATTCATAGTATAGGGCTTTGATTCTTACTATAAATGTGTCTGACCGTCAATCCTAAAACTTTGAACACCTTTTGCACATCTATTGAATCCCCTGACTTCTTAATTGGATAATTTCTTCATCTTTTCCTCAATTTACAGCTGATCACAGAGTGGCTAGTTTGCTGTTATGTCCACAGTATTTTAGCAGTTGTTGTAACAGGACAATGTTATTTTTGCAGAATCAAGATTTGACAGTGACGTCAGAGGAGAGGGTTCTGAATGCAATCTTGTTATGGAGTATGAAAGCAAAGGAATATTATGGATGGGATGCTGTGGACGTGTTCTTGATTCATTCAACTCCAGAGGTTCTATTTGGCCAGAGGCTTGATTCATTGAACCACTTATTGCCACTTGTCCGGTTTCCTCTGATGCCATTTGAGCTGCTAAAGAAGGTGAGAATGCTTTTGTTGACTTGTAAATTCTGAATTTTTAGTAGTGAAGGTACGCAGAAGCTATCTATATATCATATTGAGTATTCACTATTGTTATTTGATATTGCAGTTGGAGAACTCTAACCTTATGATGTCAATCCCTGCTTTTGCAAATCTAGTAAGTAATGACCCTCCTATCTCTCACTCTCCCCACATTATAAATATATATACTTCCTCAGTTCTTTTTTAATCGCAATGTAATCTTTTTTGTGAAGTTGCAAATTAATTGCAACATTACTTTATTTGATCAATGGTTCTCTATCTCTCTCCTCATCACATGGGTTCACCTTTTTATCTCTCTGTCTCTCTCCTCTCCTATAAACTGTGCATCCCCCATGATGCGACTAAAAAAGAAAAAAGATGAACAGATTATGTTGTAATATCAAATTATGTTCATTTGTTTCAAACTTAAATAAGAACAAATTAAGTTTCAAATATAAAGTAAATGTTTTCTGTTAAATTTAAGGTGAAGGAAGCTATAGATTATGCAAACTTTGGTGTCACCTGGACAGATATTGAACCAAAGTAAGTCCATTGGCACTTCTCTTTCTTTCTTCCTTTTTTTTTTCTTCATTATATTCCCTAGAATCGGTTTTGTATTTGGATCTCATCATCACCAGATAGTAATTATCAATCAATAAAATTTATGTATCAAAGCACTTGATGAATGTTTTGGGATGCTGGGATATGTTGGTCTTGAATATATGTTGTAATTCCTATTTGTCAAAGTATTGCCATACCCATATTTTTTGTTCAAGTCAATTGTTAGAAGCCCCCTCCCACCCCAAACCCCCCCCCCCCCCCTCTCTCCTCCTCCTCCTCAGTTCTCACCCCCTTACCTACTGTTTTTTACTAAAAGAATATTGCTGATTTGGGAGTCACTATTAATAGACATTTATAATTGTAGCCCGCGATTTCACCACCGGCGTTCTAGTTACAAAGACTTGCAATATATATGTGATGGCGATAGCAATGGGGTTCTATATTATGCGGGGACGTCATATGGGGAACACCGCTGGGTGAATCCAATGCTCTCCAAGGTGAGTCCTTCATTTTATGCACTCATTAGATGACAGTGGATGCTGTCAATTATGTCATTGTCTAATAATACTCCATAATTGATTGCTTAATTGTCTTTTGCAGAGGATTACCATAACTGCCAGCAGCCCTATGTCAAGGCTTAGTGACCCAAAGGTTCTGGCATCAAGGGCTTACCAGGTTCAATACACTGGACAAACAACTCTTACTGCTCATTCTACTTGTTTTTCTTACAGATTAAGGTGAAATTTTTTATTTTTTATTTATTTTTATTTTTTCCCTCTAGGGTACCTCGTTTTCTGGACCTCGGTATGAGGATGGGAGGATTTGCTCTTGGTGGATGGTTGATGTTGGTGAAGATCATCAGGTTTCATCTCATCTTCTTTATTCAATGCGTATTGGTTAATGTATAATGACTAGCTTGGAGTGTTTCCCTCCCTCTTTCATTTTTGAAGCAAGGCTTTCCATGCGCCTTCATGGATTAGATAAAGCTGGAGGATTTCCTGCTTTTAGGAGAGGGGGGTGAGGGGGGGGGTGGTTGGGGGGACAAACCACAATATAACAGAAGCCTCAAACTTATGGTTGGAACTACAAGGTTAGGACAAACCACAATATAACAGAAGCCTCAAACTTATTGTTCTTTGGAACTGGGATCTCAAGCTCAACTGTTGAGCTTATTGAGATCAGGATCATGAAAGTGTTGCCTTAATTTTCTTGTATTTCAAAATCAAGCCTTAAAACAGCGTTGGCATTAAAAAATGTTGAGAGATTCTCCTTCAAATATTTAGCCACATCGTCTCAACCCTTTGTAATCAAATATATTACATAATTTGCCTTTAAAATAGTTGGATCATACCTTCATTACAGTATATCTCCCATTACTTAATAAAGGTTTTATGGTTGAACCAATTACAAACCCCGACTATTTTAAGGAAGGAGGGAGTACTATCTCTGGATGGAAGGAGTGTATGTTTGCACTGAAAGAAAAAAATTTGTTGATAGACTGTAATTGAAAGGCAAGGAAGAAATTTTTTGTTATTAAGCTTGCTTTATTTCTTTTATTTGGCTCTAAACATGAACCAAGTATAGAACAAGCGAAGGTGTTGTGTTCTGTGTTGGCACTGACTGTCTATATATATGTTATCTGTAACCATCATCTTAATATCCCTCCTACATTTTTTTGATGCAGCTCATGTGCAACTACTATACATTAAGACAGGATGGTTCACGGACATTTATCAGGCACTGGAATCTTCAGGTACAAAGAATATTTCCCTTTTGTTTATTCAAGAAACGAATGAGAATTAGCTTTGCAGATTAGTAGAGTTATATAATACTTTGAATAACATTTACAGGGCTCTTTGGATGGGGAGCACTGGACGAATCTACGGGAACACAACAATGACCAGAAAATATGCAAGCCTGGCCAGTTTGCATCATGGCCTGTGATTGGTCCCCAAGCTCTGCTTCCCTTCAGATTCTTTAGGGTATTCTTGACTGGCCCCACCACTGATCCCACAGAACCGTGGAAATTTTGCATTTGCTTCCTCGAACTTTATGGCTACTTCCGCTAGGTTTTACTGTTTTAGGATTCGTAGGATGTAGTTGTGCATCTCACCATGTATACCATGCTTTACAACGTCTTGTGTATTGAGATTGATCGTGCCTTCCTTGACATGTTTTTTGCTTACATGCCGTTGTGTGAAGTATGGAATAAGAATTAACCATTTCCGCTCTTATTAAGCGATGAGGGTCTTGAGAGAAGGTGCAAGGGCATTGTTGCCTTTCTTAGGGTGTTAGTTATCTCATGTCCTATGTATCATGGTTAAAGCCAGTGCCAACCTGCACCTATTTTCGTGTCATTTTGCTAGTTGAATTAATGTATTAAAATAGCATTATTTTTGCATATTTCTGTGATTACGGAGCACTTAGTAGATGAGTATGTTGATCTTTATCCTTCTTTTATATTTTTAGCATCCTCTTTTATAAAAGAGGTTGCATTTTAGTTTTGTGGTAAAGCTCAAAGTCCTCGTGACCATGAGTTTGTCAAAATTCGTGTGAAGTTTTCTAACATTGGCCACAAAAGTCTAAGCAGGGAAAACAAAAATGGAACTGGGTGGTATACATATGAATATATGATTATAAGAATACTGTTTTTAGGTACACATTGATGGCTCTTCTACTTCTATGTTTTTCTTACAGTGCTGCAATTTCACTATTCTGTTGTGTGTGTGTGTTTTTTTTTGGGAAGGGGGGTTTAGATTGCTAGATTGCAGCCGTGATTACCATTATGATCTCTAAAACTCAAATCAGCATAGCATACCTCTAATTAAAGTGTACAAAAAAGGCCTATTACAACCCATCTCAACATGTAATTTTATATACTACCTCCGTTAAATGTTATGTGCAACTAAATGAGAGTTTGCGGAAACCAATGCAAAAGTTAAGGGGCAAAGATTAGAGAAAGTTAAGTAACTTGTGGCATGTAATTAAGGTGGAGAGAAAATGTAATTAAGTGGCAAAGACCAGCCAACACCGCCTTCACCAACACCACCGCCACCTTCACCACCACCACTACCAACCCCACAAAACCACTACCACCACCAGCCCTAACCACCTCCAACCCAGACCACCCCACCACCCAGACCCACCTCCAACCCAGACCACCCCACCACCCAAACCCACCTCTAACCCAAACCACCCCACCACCCACGCCACCAAGACCCACCTCTAACCCAGACCACCCCACCACCCACGCCACCAAGACCCAACCCTAACTCATACCACCCCACCACCCATGTACCCAGAGCCACCAACCACCCCACCCACCCCCTATACCCACCCACCACCGTAGAAACCCAGAAAATCAGACGAAGAACAGCCACTCAGAAAATCGAAATCACCAAGAAAATCGAAATCAAATCCTTGAAAATTAAATCCTTGAAAATCAAAACCCAGAAAATCGAAACCAAAACCCAGAAAATCAAAATCAAAACCGAGAAATACGAAATCAAAACTAGAAAATCAAAACTCAGAAAAATCGAAATTAAAATCCAGAAAATCGAAATAAAAAACCAGAAAATCGAAACTCAGAAAATCTAAAAAAAAACCCAGAAAATTCGAACATAAATCACAAAAAAAAAAACGAAAAAGTACAAAATCGAAAAAAACGATATGGATCGTTAATCAACAATAAGCAGATCCAAAAAAAAAAAAACGAAAAAAATGATATGGATCGTTAATCGCACATCATCCAACGGTCGAAGAGAGAGAAAGCACATTATCGATCCAGCTAAAATTCAAGAACCAAGTTCCAAGCCCAAAGCAGATCCGGCTGAAAATTCGAAGAGAGAGACAGCACAGTTCGTGGTGGTGGGAGGTAAGGGCCGTGGTCATAGGGAGGAGAAAGACGGTGGTGGGATGGAAGGTGGTCGTGAAGGAGGAGAGAGAATGGTGGTGGGAGGGGCGGTGGTCGTGAAGGAGGAGAGAGGATGGTGGTGGGAGGGGCGGTGGTCGTGACTGAGATGAAGAGGGTGAAGGTGAAAGAGATGGTGAAGGTGAAAGAGACGAAGAGAGGTTGAAGAAAGAGATGAATGGGTGGTTAGAAGAGATGAGTAAATGGGGTGGGTAGAATTAGGTTAATGATTTTAGATTAGATTAAAAAGGTTATTGTGATTAAAATAAGATAAGGGTAAAATTAAGAAAATTAAAATTTTTAAGTAAGGGTAAATATGTAATTTTCAGGGTTTTTTGTTTACTAAAAATAGAAAGAAAACAGAGAGTTGCACATAACCCTGATAATCCCAAAATAGCAAAAGTTGCACATAACATGTAACGGAGGTAGTACAAATTTTTATATGTGACCACTTTACATTTAGAAATTAATTAAGTAATGGGTGTTATGGTAATGTTTAAATGAGGTTACCTTGACGGATAAGGAGTTAACGGTATGGGATAATGAGTTACTCTTATAAACAAGAGGAAATAAAATCTTTTAAGTTTTAATAGTCAAACTAAAAGATTAGGAGTTGCTTGATAGAACAAATAAGATTACTTATTTTTTTTTAATTGACGTTAGAGCAACTCCAATTAGTATAATAAATTGGGGTTACTCTTAGGCAGATTAAGGTTACACTTGAATAATTGGGGTTACTTATATTGATTGATGAATAATGATTATGTTTTTAAACAAACTAGTCTTAAACCCGTGCGATGCACGACGGTTTAATGTATTATAATAATTTTTTTTTGTATTTATATTTTTGCCTAGTATTTCAATTTCATATAAAAATAGTAGAAAATATTTTAATAGTAGTGTTAAATTCGAAAACCCACTGGTTGCGAAATGAAACAAAACCATATGCGATTATACTAATATGGGAAATGTTTGTTTCATATGGTTATCGAATTTAATTGAACATCTATTTTCAATTTTCATAGAAATACTTACAACACTCTAAATCCATTATGCCAAATACTTCTATAGATATTTAAACTCAATTCATATAAACAAAACTTATATAAAAACTAATCAAAATTCTCATAACCATAAATTGATACATCCTATATCAAGCATCAAATTACAAGTTACTGATTAACTATAGTTTTAAATTAGCTTGATTAATGAAGATATTTGACATCAAAATGAAAAATACAATATAAACCTAAAAAATCCAAAAAACAAAAAAAACAAAAAAAAAACCAATAAAACGAAAAAGAAAAAAAAACAAAAAACAAAAAACCAATGATTAATTAAAAACCAATGATAACTGATTATATTTCAAAATGCAATATAAATTAATTGATAAGTGAACCAAAACTTAAAAAGTACAAAGTATGGAACTTTCAACAGCGGCATGTACAATACTTGAATAAAAGAATCGATTTTAGCATAAAATACAATTTGTTGAACAAAATAATTCCATCCGAAAGTATGATTAATACTACAAACAGAATCATCCATTAAAAAAGTATGAGTACACTAAGTGATGACCACAAATTAAATTTTCAATGCAACAATAGCATATGTGAACCATATTTTTTAAAGACCCAAACTTACCACCAACAAATTTGTCAGATTCAAATTTAATTTATAGTTAGTATCTGAATTGCAATATGAGAAATCATATAACAACGTCAACAAAAAAAATAACCTTTATCTTGACAAATAAGTTGAATAGGAACTTTGTCGCAATTGCTTTATGAAACTATAGAATTGCCTTAAGCACTTTGCAGGGAATAGTAATTTAGAATGTATCATGTGGTTTGATCGAAATTATAGAATTATTGAAGAGGAAGAGAAAGGAGAGGGCAAGAGGCAAGAGGGAAAGGAAGAGATTTCCAAATTGGAAAATGAGGATTATTGTTTGGAATGAAAATTGGAAATCAATACTATGTAGTACTCCGTACTATAAAAAAGAAACTGAAAATGAAAGTTATGTCTTTTATTTTTTATTTATTTTATTTTTTAAAAGTTATGTCTTTTAAAAAAAATAAATAATTTTTTTTAAATACGGAGTAGAATATTTAGGAAAAGGCCATGTGGCACTCTAGATTTCTAGTAAATGATCCTATTTTAAAATAGTACTAGTATTTAGTCCGTACAATGCACGGGTCAAACTTAATAGTTAAATGTCTTTTTTAATTATTAACAAATTATTTTATTACATATTTGGATTGCTCTTATAATTAATTAAAATCAAAATACATGTAAACATAAATTGCATTAATGTGGTAAAATACATCACAAACATGCATTGGAGCTAAAGAAGGGAAGTTGTAAATTTGCCTCCTTAATTAAAATAATGGCCCTTTTCATTCAAATTTTTATTTAGCTGTTCTATTTAAAGTTGTTGCTACTGCGTGGTTTCATTTGGATGTAGTGGGGATTTACTCTCCTTTTGTTGTTTAGCTTCTATGTAATTATTGAATCTTTTTGTAATGGCTTATGGTAGTCTTTTTGGCTTTGTAAGACAAATTAGATTTAGGTTTTTAGACAATACATAAATCTACGTGGGATTTGAACCCACATCCTTTGTACAATTGCACAATGCTCTACCAGTTGAGCTAATAGGCTACTGTTATTAGACCATTTAGCAAGAAAATATAGTCAACGCAGAGTAATGTTGGAGTAAAAGTAGTACACCAACGAAGCAAATTGAGAAAAGGTGCCAATCGATGAACATAAACAATTTAGCGACGTTTTAACGGACTGTTCTCATTTGATCTGACCATTTTTCTTCAGTTTCTTATTTCCGTGAAATCCAAAGCTGTATATAAAACCATCAATTGGAGAAAATTAAATGTGAAACTAAACGTAAAAAGTAAATGCTGAAGCAAAATGATGCTGTGTAAACCAAATATAACTAATAGTAAAAGAGAATGAACTTATTTTGTAAAAGAGCCAAGGTTTCTTTCCGCTCGTTAAAATAACACCAAACAGTTTTTTTTTTGCAGACGTAGCCTCTAATATAACAATGCATTAATCAAGTAAATAAGTTTGAAGACGTATTTAACCTGTTTCGGGGTTTTTTGATGTCCTGCGGGAGAATTACAATTACGGGACTGGTTTCTGGACGCTTGTACCTACAAAATAACGGAGACTCCTGTGGGTGGGAGTTCCGCCTCCGATGATCAAGTTAGAACGTGTTTGGGGAGTAAAGTGCGGAAAGTAAAGTTCCTCTCGGATTCCAAGAGAGAATCTGCAATGTGTAATTGCTCAGTTTGAGGTGTCAGATGTCTGACTTTCTCTGATTGTGAGTTAATGTGAATTAGTTGTGTTCCCGAGGGGGAACATCTCCCTTTTATAGGGTGTTTGGAAAACGTGCCCAGTACTAGGTTTCAGTAAACCTAAGACTGACTGGGCTATGCCTAGGAATTTGGGCCGTTAGAGGCCAGTTTCCTGTTGGGCTATCTGTCTGCCACATGTCGTGGCCAGATTGTTCCACCTTGGAC